TAAAAATTAAAAAAAATAAATAAAAAAATATATTTTTATTGATTTCAAAGAAGGAGAGAGAGATAGAAATATCAATGAGAGTATCATTGATCAGCTGCCTCCTGTGTGTCCCCCACTGGGGATCCAGTGCGCAACCTGGGAATGTTTCCTTGACTGGTATCGAACCATGCTGACGCTCTATCCACTGAGCCAAACCAGTTAGTGCCGGAAGCCACTTTTGACTAAATAAAAATGGCCCAGCCAGTGTGGCTCACCGGTTAAGTGTTGACCTATGAACCAGGAGGTCACAATGATTCTCATCATTGATGTTTCTCTCTCTCTCTCTCCCTTCATCTCTGAAATAAGAAATATATATATTTAAAAAAAAATGAAAATGGTTCTCTGTGTTCTAGGAAATCAGGTAAATCCCCATACCTTTTATCTATGCCAACTACCTAACATAACCTTTCTGCTCTTGTCAAATTCATCTTCTCACATCTCTCCAATACTCTAAGCTCTTCCTAATTTTCTACACAGGAAATTTATTCCCTCTTTAGTGATTTTATATACAGCACTTAGTTTTGTATCTCTTGTGCACTGTTTGGGGCCCTTGGACTGAGATTATGTACTGCCATGATTTCAGGTTAAGTCTGTTTTCCCTGCCCCTCCACTTTGAAGTAAAATTTTTTAATGTTAGAGCCTTTCTTACTCAAATATGTGTTTCTCCACTCTCAGGCTCCAGCCTCCCCTAGTGCTCTTGCCATTTAGATTCTTTTTAAATGCTTGCTAAATTTAATACCTACCTTTGCTGCAGTTCTCTCCTGCTGTCTGCTTTAGGGTCTTCCTTCTCAAAGACGTTTTCTTTGACTAAGCCCGCTAAAGTCTAAAATCAGAACTATTAGAGCATGTGTTTATCTTTGAAGCCTACTTTTACCCTCCTCCCCATCTAGACAGTAAACTCGAAAAGAGCACAGGCTTTGAAATTATATCTAGGTCCAAATTCCGCTGCTACCATTTACTATGACTATACCTTAGGGTGAGAAATCTAGGCTTGTCTCCCAACTCCCTGGGGTTTTTAACAGATGAAAGGAGATAGCGTTCATAAAACTAGTACTGAAACTAGAACGTCACAGACAAAAATTGGCAGCTACTTTCCTGCCTTAAGGAAAAAGGTCCCATGGCACCTAAAAAGGAGACCAGCCTGACCGAGGCGTTCAGTAACTCTTCCTCAATTAACTTTTGAAAAATACATTCTGCCCTAAGGACAAAAAGTCACTTTTTCAACCCGCTAAGGCTCTCCAACAGCCTCGCCTTGAGGTGGGGAGGCTGTGGAAGTGGAAGTTGGCGAGCTGAACAAAAAAGATTCCTTGTCAAACCTAAAGACCTCAGGCCACACCGCCTTTCTGCGGCTCTGCTCCCCATGTTTACACTTTGTACAGTGACTGTCACGAGCCACTTCAGGTTCGGGATTTGACTGCGGGATGAAGCCCCGGCTTTGCCCAGGTCCTCATCAAGCTCTCCCGTCCCGAGAGGACCCACCAACAGACACACCTGAGTCCTTCCCCACCCCGACACGGGCGACTCACCGCCGAGATCTTTGGCCTGGTGAAGGAGCTCGCTCTCAGCCGACTCCGCCACAGCCTCGGGGCGCGGCGCCGGTGGG